TGCACCCTACGTCTGATTCAAGATCGTCATATGATTGTGATCAATCCAACTTGGAAGTCTATTGTTTTCTCATTGTTGATTGCTGAATTTCGATTACATAAATAGAACAAAAACTTTCGGCAGTATTGAATCAATATTGCTCTCATCATTATTTTTTATAAGAAACAGATTTCTCGATTATAAGCATAGTATTTATTTAAAAAACAGGAATGTTTTTAAAAACCGCTTATTGTCAATTTGAAAAATACTCTCGTATTTCATTGTTATCGTCGAGGATTTTGAGAGCTACATGTTGACTAACAATGATAAGATCATCACAAAGTCGATTTAAATAACTATACATTTGTTTACCATTTGATACAGCTGACCAAACACACATGCCTGCTGTAAGAACTCCACCAACAACTATTAAACTAATGGATAGACCACGAATTGCATTGATTGCGCCGATACCAGCGAGTCTAAGAACATCATCCGAAAGAGCAATACCGACAACACCAACACTTGTTACACCTTTTGTGATTGTTGACGATGATACACTTACTGCTGAGTTTCGAATATCAGTCTTTTTAATGTGAAATGTTTCTTTAAAAGCTGATGTTTTGAAACCTGCTTCATCAAGGGTAATTTTAAATTTACTTAAATAAACTTTGAACTCATCTGTTGTACCCTTCCACCAGTTCATTAAACGTGAACGAGTATTAACACCAAATGCTTGACGAATGTTTTCTCGTCCTAAATATCTTGGAATCAAATCAAGAAATGGTAGAAAAGCAGCAACACCTGCAGCAATATTATATTTAAATATATTCATGACATAACCACGACGAAAACAAATATTAATAACTCGTGCCATTGCAGATACAGCCATTTTTTGTAGACGACTTTTGTGTAAAGTTAACGGTAGGATTCTGATATAACCCTCTAATTTTTCAAAATCAAAATTTAAACATGGTATTGTGGCTAGATACTTTTTCAGACTACTTTTGTTACAGACAGAGGTTAAATATACATCAGATAACTCTTGCCCTTTGATGTCAAAGCTAGCAATCTTTCGAATTTGTTCAATCACATTTTTTGCATATTTTTCCTTTCGTTCATTATCGGTTAAGTCGAAGCTTTGACCAACACTCTCTTCATATGTTCTGAGAAATAAATCATCTGTATTGCTTCGTACCAGGATGCATTTACGCTCTAATATATTGACAATATAACGTTGCCACTCATGATGAACATCTGTAAACTGATTGTTAAATACAATAATATAAAGATCACAGTCTGCTTTTTTTATTTCATCGAAATAATTTCCTGATTTTAAATTTGATTCACTGTCTGTTGATCCTTCAATATCAACAAAAATAACTTTTTTACCATCTTCATACTCATGTTCAAACTCCATTCTACAAAATGTACTTTTACCAACACGAATTGGAGAAGAGAGTTTCTTTTGAGCAATTATTTCTGTTTGTGAATTTTTCAAATAGTCAACATCAGTATGTCGTAAAGCATTTGAAAGTGAACTTTTTCCCACACTTATTTGACCTATAAAACCGACTCTACATGGTATACTTGGTATAATATGTTGGCCAAGATCCTTTTCAAGCGATTGAAAAATATCAATGATTTTTGGTTGAAATTGTTTATTTGTCCCTAATACTGTTTCACATTCATTCATGTTTCGATTCAATGATCCAAAATATTTTTCAAAATCAGCTTGCTGAGTGTAATATAACAATAACTCACACACTTCAATAAATGTTTGACATTTTCGAGGACCATCACCGGTTAATGTTGTCACATAGTCCTCTAAACAAGCATTTAATTGATCATGATCATCATCACTACTTTTCACTATTAATTCTTTAGTTCTATTTTCGATATCTTGTAACTCTTTAACTAATGCATGACCACGTTCTATTTGTCTTGCTATCGATTCGAAAAGAGTGCTATTATCATTGATTTTTTCTTGCAACATTTTTAACTGCGCCTGAATATGGGTTAATCGACATGAAACATCATTTAACAGTACTCCTGGCATAATATTTAAGTTCGATAATAGGTCGACCCCATATTTAATAGAGTATTGTTGCCATAATAAATCTATCAACAATTGATTTTCCATTCGATATGTTACGTTTGAATTGTGACAATATATACAATAAAATTTACTGCTGGCATGACTACTTGTTTTAATTGACTCCATGCATTTATTACAATATTGATAACCACAATCAATATTTGGACATTCACGTAGTGACTGATCAGGCGTAATACCAAATGAACTGATACATATACAACATGCATCCCAAATCTATAAAAGAAATCAAATCGAAAAATGCATGGTAGATCAATCAAAAAGAACAAAGCTTTTTTCACAAATTCAAAATGAAACCTGCCATCTCATCCGTTTATTTTCTAGTAATTCATTTAAGCACAAATTTATCATATAGTAGATATTCTTAATGGGCTCACTCTTTGTTTTCATTCTCTAAAGATAGGTTATTTCAGATTTAATCAAATAGCTACACATCAATTATGTTAACATTTAAATGTACTCATTTTTTTACAAAGTACCCGACTTTTTTTTACACTATATCATACTTCTCAAGAAAAGCGGCGAATAGAATATCTTCTAGTGTATCTTTGGTGTTTCGATTTGTTAGTATTAAATGGTACACACTAAATGACAGTCTCTGTATTTCGTCAATATCTGTTTTGCTACTTTAGTTGTGAAAAGTTATTCCAGAAAGATTTGATTTTGAACTTCCACCACTATAGTTCTGATTAGTCAGTTTTTTTATATACCTTCCTTCGTACAAGAACACTACTCAGGTTTTTTTTATTTCAGAAAAAACCAAACTAAAACTGATTTACAAAGGCTTGTCAGTGTAGCTTCAAATGAGGAAAAATGTAAAATTCACATTCAATCAACCTGAGAAGCTTAGTACGGACTTTAAAAACGAAGCAGTATCTTTCAAAACAGCTTATAGGTCGAATCAAATGTGTATCCTATTATCTGTTCCCTGCGATTATTTTCTAAATTCTTTGATCATCTAGATATTCTTCCTTCTTCTCTCATATTTACTATGCTGCTTTCGTTCATTCCTGCTTTCAATACATTTTTTTAGCTATCATTTATTTGGTTTTGATTCAATGCTCGCATTGACACGCTATCACTGAGCGTCAAAATATGCGACCATATGTTCTACGTCTTTTTTCAGCTGCTTTCGGCTTATTAGAGTTCTACCAATCATATATGCCTTTGTCTATCGCAATGCTTACGAAGCTGATGTGCAGCTTTGATCATTAGAGTTCTTGATACTCCGCACAGCACAAACTGCTTTTGAAGCAACTTTACGCTATCCTTGTCGTGTTTCTTACAATTTGAATGGAAATGGGATGGGATGTAGGTGTAGATGACAGTCTGGACGCGATTGAAAAGAAGACTAATCCAAACTCACACTCATACCCTATTTCTGTTAAAGGTGAGGTGTTTATCCAAATTAATAATTCCTTCTTACATTATGTATCTACTATTTTTAATTACTCTACCATGGTCTACATTCATAATATAATGAGCTAAGTTGTCACTATACATACTCTTTTAACTGACAAATGAAACCACTCTCCATCATTGTTATTGATTTCATTAATATCTTTTAATAGTTTTTCTGTATTCGTTGCCTTATCTTTGTATGTTAATATAAAGTTGATCCGAATTTCTTTCATATTACTGCTAACCAAGTACCTTCTATATTTTGCAAACACGTCTTGTTGTAGTTGTTGTAATGTTTGATAATTACCAACCAATTTTTGCTTATGTCCCAAACAAACAGTCAGAATTTGATGCATATTCTCAACTAAATCATTCAAACCATGATATGCTTGATGGTAAATAAAAACTTGATTTTGTATTTTGAAAACGTTAAAACTACTTACAGTAAATGTTATAATATATATCTGCACTAGACTTTCAAATTTTTTGTTTTTTATGTTTTATATAGATTTATCTCGTTATTTATAGTCTGTTTCGAAATCATGCTGGTTTTTTCCGTTTTATCTCTACGTTCTTCCTAGCATTGATACATAGTATTTGTCCGAAAAATTTTCATTTCTTATCTTATCTTTTACTCGGTATTCTTTTGTCGAAATCATGTTGGTTTTTTTCCATCTTCTCACTCTATCTATGCAGTTTACAACTACACTCATCCCCGAAAGTCTGGATTCTTTGTTACTTGGCTATTTTTTTTTTGAAAGTTGTATTGCCGTACAGTGTAATAATATTCTCGTCTTCATTGTGAAAGAGAATAATAGTTACTAACTTAAAAGAATCGGTGCAAATCAAACGTATAAAGACTGTACTTGCTAGATTTACACCAGTTTTTTTTAGCAGAACTAGTCAAACAGTTTTTTTTGAAGATATTTTCTAATGTGTTTTCAAAACGTTAGATGTTATAACATTGAAATATATCGAAAATATCACCAATATAGTCATTGTGTCAGTAATTTTCAAGCGAATATAACAAACAAAAAGAACAGAACATTGCAAGAAATATATTTCGAAGAAAATAAATATATATATAAATATTTTAAGTTTTCTTTTTTTGTATTAAAGTCAACTAAAATAAAGACACAAGTAACGCGACCTTAGTGTCGCTAACCCTCTACAGAAAGGACATGAGCATATAAAAGCAACAACGCAAAAATACCTACGTGAGAGACTTCAGATACTTATAGCCTGGATGTGGGTGTGGGGTGTGGGTGAGGATGTGGGTAACTCTATTCTCTACCCACATCCACACCCACCCACACCCGTTCATACTACTTCATTCCTGTTGGTTCCTCATTGTACTTTTCTTTATTTGAGTGTGCATTCAAATTTTTTTAACCGTTTTTACTGCATGTGGGTACCAGTGTTATACCACCAGTGTTTGATGGATACAGTTAAGCAACCCTTTTAGTACATACGCCGCCAAGACTTAGAAAGGAAAAAATAGAGAAAACCACATGTAACAGTCGATATGTGCTGTGTAGATTTGTAAAATCATATAGTAAATGCCTCACGATACCGGATCTCAACATCGTGGCTCAAGGTCACCAATAATTCACGTGATTATTCTTCATTACTTTACTTCTTATAATAGCTCAACTGCATCTCTCATACCCTCATATCGCCTTCCAGAGTCGATAAGGAATTTCCATCACCGTATTCAGAAAGAGTTTTACAGTTCCATACAGCTGAAGGTGTTGTTTACAAAGACGATGTTTTCTTTACAATCGGTAAGATCACAAGAAAGACTCGATGCAGTCTTCAAGGGCCTCAAAAACCAGATGTTGAGCTGAACACCCTCTGAAGGGTGAGGTGTGATGGTGGATGTGTGTATCGATGTGGATTTGGGATAAGGATGTGGTTGTGTGTGGGGGTAGCGGCGTGGGTGCGCAGTTCTTGGTGTGGGTGTGGAGGCGGCTTTACATATGGAGACGATACTATCCTCACAGCCACACCTACACCGACATCCACGCACACCCACGCACTCGCATACCCTCCCCAAATAGTAGGAATTGAGGATCCAAGGGTAATCCCAATACTACACTCTAAAAAGAAAGGTATTTGTTACTATTGAAATCGCTTTTAGGGCTTCCAAGCCATTTGCAAACCCTAAAAGAGTTTCCAATAGTAACAAATACCTTTTTTTAGAGTGTAGTACTTGAGGGTCAAAGGGTATCATCCCCTCCAATAATAGGAGTTGAGGACCCAAAGATATCCCCCAACACTCGTACTTGAGGGCCATAGGGTACCTCCAATAGTAGAACTTGAGGATCCAAGGATATTCCCCAATAGTAGGATTTGAGGACCCCAGGGTACCCTGCGATGACCGAGCCCGGGTTCGGTGCATGCCTACTTTTATGAATGTTTATTTAGTGTTATAAATTTCTGAGGAAGGTTTTATTTCATAGGAAAACGATTGCTTTAACTTGAAAAAGTTTAAAGTTAGTGTAAAGTATCGTGGCTTTAATTTTAAAAGTTAAAATTTAAAGAGCACTACTTTAACTTTAATCTTAAAGAAAAGTTAAAGTGCTACCCCCACTTTCACTACAGCCTAATTGTACACAAGTTGTTCTGCAGCTATAGTTTGGATAGATTCCAGCTATACTCAAGCTATACTCGAACTGTACTCAAACTGTACTCGAACTGTACTCCAGCTGTACTTCAGCTGTACTCCAGCTGTACTCCAATGTACTCCAACTGTACTCCACCTCTACTCCAGCTGTAATCCACCTCTACTCCAGCTGTATTCCAACTGAACTCCAACTGTACTCCAACTTTACTCCAACTGTACTCCAACCGTACTCCACCTGTACTCCACCTGTACTCCACCTGTATTCCATCTGTACTCCATCTGTACTCCAATTCTTTTTTGGAGTAGAGTGAGTCTCGCTTTTCCCCCCTTGACTTTTCTCGACTTTCGTTCTCCTGCATTTCACATGGTTATTCGGAATTTTTCCGTTATTCACTGACGCACAACGTACTGATCTGAACCATCTATACTTCATACTCTTAAATAGAACATACTGTCGTCAATATTGGGAAGATCAACTGTTCTCATCAATATATAAAGGAAAACTCCTTGAGGACCATTCTACTAACGACAAAATCACTGTCAATGGTATTTTTGATCTAAAATATATAATATATTATCAAAAGAAGTTTTCTTGGATATGTATAAATAGCACAAATTCAGATGTTTATAATACATAAAAATTTAGTATGAAGATACAAATTGTTCATATATTTTCTGAGTCTTTTTGATACATGCTTGAATAACATTCATCGATAGACCATTCAAAGCTTCATCGACCGGATTTTCTAGTTCACATTGTGACTTTGGATTCTTATTTTTAATTTTCTGTTTGATAATGTTCCAGATCAGTTCAATAGTATTAAAATCAGGACTATAACCTGGCTATTCACATAATTCAATAGTATATCGATCACATCATTGTTGGAATTGAGAACTTCTGTGCCATTTAACTCCATCAGAAATATAGAAAAATTCATTTAATTTCCGAATAAAGCTTCTTTACCTGTAGCACAATATGTATCAGCATTTAACCAGCTTTCAAATCGACCAAATATATAACCATTTCACCAGATAAAACCAATTAACTTAACATGTGCTCGTAAAGATGACATTTCCTTCTTGGGTGTTGATTCTCCTCGTTTACACCAAACAACCTGTTGAGTATTTCGTAAACTCACATAACATTCATCTTCGAAAATATAGGTCTTGATATTGGCACGGTAATGTAATGTAGCAAATTCATACAGTTTTTGTTCATTTATATTATTACTCTTGACTTTAATAATAGACTTGCGAGGACGATAACCAAGTGATAGACGATATCGTTGTATCGTGCATTCGGTAGTGTTGAAGTTTGTGAGCGATAGTAATTCAGCGGCTGTTGCCGATCGATGGTTTTGTATTGTTCGATCAAGTTGCTTAATTTGTGTTGAATCGAGTGCAGATAGACGACCAACATCATGTTCATAGTTTACATGATGATGACGACGATAATAATTAATAATGCGGCATATTGTACGGGCATGATAGTTAAGAAAACGTGCTACACATGAAGTATTTATAGATCCTTTTTTCCATTCATTAATGATATACCAGCGTTTCTCTTCACTGAGGATATACATTTTCACAAAATCAGCGAACAACCAAATTAGGGTAAAACGCAAAATAAACAAAATTTAATATAAAGCAACCAGCCAATAAATATTCTATTTTAACACTTGTTAAAATAGACTCAGAAAATATATGAACAATTTGTATCTTCATATTAAATTTTTATGTATTATAAACATCTGAACTTGTGCTATTTATACATACCCAAGAAAACTTCTTTTGATAATACATTATATATTTTAGATCAAAAATACCATTGACAGTGATTTTGTCGTTGGTAGATTGTTATAGGTACTGGGAAAAATATTTCAAAGCACTATCAAAAACCAGAGATGGATACCTTTTGTTGAAACAGTCAGAGTTGAATGCGCATAGATCGAACTGGCTTGAAGGTACGAAATCAATTCGCTGCTTGCGCAGATAGAAAAGATTTGTAAAACACTTGGACGTATTGGAACAAACGATAAAATGTATGGTAGCTCATGGAACGACGGATTCGATCATTGACTATAACGAGGACGAGCTCTACTGTTTCTCCCTGCTCCCGAAGGGTTTTAGACAATAGTTAATAGTCATGTTAAGGTCATACTGACAAAAAACGACAAGGAGACGCAGAGCAAGAGAGAAAGAAAGAGAGAATGATACATATATATTTTTTTTCTTGTTCTTTTTTCTTTCTTTTTTTTGCTTTGTTCTTTCTTAAGAATATCATACTGTCGCACTTGGTTCTTCTATTTTTCCCTTCTTATTCTTCGATTTTTTTTGCTTTTGTTCTTCTGTCTACCGCACTACACCCATTTCTTGTTTTTAGTTATGCTTTAACAGGTTCAGTCTTTCAAGCTAAACTGTCACTTTAGGACCGTCAGGGTCATCGGGCAAAGCTCGGCTTATAATAAAAAAAAAAAAAAAAAAAAAAAACTTTTAAAGGGATTGTTCTATATAGTCGCGAAGAATACTTCATTGAAAAGAAAAAAAAAGATTCATTACTTTCATCAGTAGCTCGCATATTTTGTTAATTTATGTATCATTTCAATTACACTGTGAATGATCCTATTCTCGTATTTTTATATTCAATAAATTTCTGAATGATTGGTCAAGATGTTCATGTTAATGATTTTTCATTCTCTTAAAATTTTTCTTTCGACATTTTCTATTTCGTTCTTTTTCTTTTTGCTTTTTTCTTTTCTGTCTTTTTCCTTCGACATTTCATCGTTCGACATTTTTCCTTTCTGCCTTTTTCCACCATATTTTAAAACATTATCGAACTAGTATGACAACTGACTGATTACGCACAAGGCTGAAAATGACGTTTCAATTTCGAAGTAAACAAGCCTTTTCTTTTGCGCTAGAAGCCATCGACATTGGAGCTTTAATATTTGTGCTTGCGTGTGCGACGACGATAGTAGTACAGGTGTATGATTGATAAAACGCACGCTTTTTTTTGCAACATTCAATTGAGTCTGTATTGACATCGATTATGCCGTCTGTATAACACTAAACAGAACGAGCAAGACAAAAGTACTTTCTCTCAAAAAAAAGTATGTAATGAATAAGTCATGCCTAGCGAATACACAAACATGCATTAATAGATAAAAACCAAGGTTTTGTTTGTAACGAATGTATATTCACAACAATACTTTTCCTTCACTTATAGGACAATATCAATACAATACACTGTTATTCGTCTTGTGTATATACATAAGGTCTTGCAGCATTACAACGAGCGAATGTAAGCCTTTTGATGTGACAATCTTTTCATGAAGCTTTTGTAGTCATGGATATCGAGCGGATGTGTTGGTTCTCAAGTAGAATCACTAACCTTGTTTAATTTTATTTTTATATCATTGTAATTGTTTTGCTCATGAGGAAAACTTTACGGAAGTTTTTAGGAAATGAACAGTAAAGATTAGTCAGTGTAAAGCTATTCTCGTCAAAAGACCTCGTAACCTGAGCTGTCAATCGAGCTTCTAGATACCAACGTAGAAACTCTGAAAGCTTCACCTTGTGGGTATGAGTAAGGTCTCCTCCATCAAAAGTCTAAAGAGTTAAATATATATTTGACTTCGGAAATTTTCCAAAATATTCCTGTTTTTCACTGCATTTTTTTCAGTTTTTCGGAAAGCTGGGGGTTACTTGTCGTAGTGTTTTTTTTCTGGTGCAAGATTTTGGTTTGTTCAAAAACAACTAAATGATACTATGCAAGACTAGCTAAAATTCTGTAGTAATGTTACTTCGAATAGTATATGTAGGAATAGTAAGATAAAGCAAGCAAGACAATGACTAGTTCTTTGAAAGTAAATATTCTACGTCGAAGCTTTTAGATTTTGCTTCAGAATCAGAAAGAAGTGCCAGTCAGTATCAATGAAAATCCTTTGGAAGTTGTTACCGACAGGCTCACATAGTATTACTACGACAAGTTTTTCTTTTTTTGTATATGCGTTGACCATTTTGTATAGAGCTTTGTAGAAAATTCAATACTGAATGTTTACGAAAAAGTTGGTCTGAAACAATAAAAACTGGCAGAGATATGTCTAAGAATCAAATATGAGTCATAAAGGGTTGTAGCATAAGGGGATATACAAATGGAAAGAATGGAGAAAAATATGCTCTTCTTGAGATTCAAACAGCACATCTTCGGTTATTCAGATAGATATCATAAGCCAATCAGACTTGAGGAGACATTCTAATTCATGTTTAGCGTCGGAGTGCATCCGTACCGATGGCAACAATATTGAATAAATAACGAAGGCTCATCTATTCTGACTCATATATTAACTTGAGAAAGTGAACGAAACAAATAGACTGGTAAATCTTCAGAGCGGACGAAATTCTTAAAGTGGCTTAACTTCTAGGATTGTCCTTCATATTGTTCGGTCATAGCGAGTAATTATAAGCACTTAGTCACTTTATTTCTGTATCATTTGAAAGCACTTTACTAACTATAGGAAATAATATAATAACGTGATGGAAAGAAGACAGACCGGTATATAATCATATTGAGCACTCATCTAAATGCTTCTACAGTTCACATTGTTTGTTGAGTTTATCTTCTATTTGCAACCAATTCTATATTCGCTAAGTCAATTTCTACGTAAATCGAAAGCTTTCTACAAACTGTAGAAGAAAACTTGAAAACATGTATTATGTAGCAGAACATGATGGTCAATTTCAGAAACAGCATATTTCCAATTATTCAATGATACTCTAAGCGACCTCAGTAAAAGCATCTTAGAAATAAAAACCGGTCCTATCAGCTGCTATATCCGTCAGAGAGAAGAACGGCATTAATGAGTTTTGATTTTCCACGTTTCATGTGATAGAAGTTGATATGGAGATGCAATACAACTGTAATGGTCCTAAAAGCAATTTTGGGGACAAAACTTGTACAATGAGTTTAGTATCTCTGTGCTAGTTAGCATACTATAGTTTGAAGAGACATAGTTGCTGCTGTGTATGCTCAAACGTTTGTAACGTGTATTATGTTTGGACAGTACTTTTGTCTTTATATATCGTAATGTTGCCGCTTTGTAAGAGTCGTGCTTTAAGTCACGGATGAAATCGGAATCGGCTCGAATTTCGAATCAGTCGGCCTGCTTGTGGAGCGGTATCAATAGATCAGATCAGTATTCTCGAATCAGAACAGTGTTCATGTGTCAGACTAGTATTGACGGGTTTGCCTGGGTGTGGGTGAGTGTGGATCAATGGAAGATTCTTCCACACCCACACCCGCACCCACACCCACACACCCCACCCACGCCCACACCCCCCCCCCCACCCCACACTCACACCCACACTCACACCCACCACACACCCCACACCCTTCCCCATCCACACCCACACCCCACACCCACATTCACACCCGATACCGATATCAGTCGTCAAAACATCAGACCAGTTTCATCTCTGCTTAAGGTCATTCCCCAGCGTATGATACTGTGCGAATGAGCCGAAAAAGTTTCTAACATAAAAGAGAGAATCAAATTATTGTTTAATGTATTGTTTTCAAGAATATACTACCTACAGTAATATCTCTAATATTATCCTTGGATAACATTCACAATGAGCGACCGATAGCAGCATACTCGATAGCGACCCGTAGATGTAATCTTCGGATGAGTTGATTTTTCTGTAGAAACTATTGAATAATATCAATGTTCTCCTAAATATGAAATATACGATTGAATAAGTCACTATCTAAAACTTTTCTGCTCATTTCATTAAGCTATTGGCCATTTCAAAATATAATGTACTCTACTGTTTTTTGAATAACTCAAGAATACAATCAGCTAGAGATCTGCGGTTTTCACCAATCGATAGAAGAGACAGAGGTACGTCTTTTACTTTCATATTGTATGAGACGAGATCAATTTAAAATCAGTCATTTCTGCAGAACATTGCAAAAAACGTATAAAAACGGCATGTCATTTAGACGAAATTTTGGCCTAAAGTAAGAAAATTTGCTTAAAAAATGGAATAAATTCAAAGTTTTCATGCTAATAAATAGACGATTTTATTTGATCCACATTAGGATGTGGAAATATAATCATTCGAATTATATATTGAAGTATAGATCTGAAGTCCCTCTATCTAGATCACATGTCAAAATCAAAATTTCATCTAAATGACATATCGTTTTTATACGCTTTTTGCAATGTTCTGCAGAAATGACTGATTTTAAATTGATTTCGTCTCATACAATATTAAAGTAAAAGACGTGCCCCTGTCTCCTCTATCGATTGGTGAAAACCACAGGACTCTAGCTGATTGCATTCTTGAGTTATTCAAAAAACAGTGGAGCACATTATATTTTGAAATGGACAATAATCTCAGTGCACTCTAATCAGGATCACAACCTTGCCTTCAATCTATTGATATTCAATAGAATGACGAGTTCAACGCTATCATCATCGTGTGAGGATCATATCTCGATCATTTTACGAAATTTATTTTTCCATAAGTGCTCATTCGGCAGCTCAAAAAGCAGCTATCTTCATTAAGAATTTGTTAAGAA